ATTAATTATTATTGGTTACTGGTTAGTTTAGTTAGTATATAATATTTACAGATTCATACGTCTATTTTCTAAGCCTCTAAGGTATTGAACTCATCGATGACAGAATCCAAGTTTATCCCACTTGTCAACTCTTGTTCGGTGAATAGTAACAGTAACGAATCTAATCGTTCCTGTTTCATCGTACTCCTAAGTTTTGATTTTACAATTGTCATTTTGGAAAAGACTCGTTCGCATGTACAACTTGTGACTGGGATAATCGTAAATAATTGTAAGGTTTTATAAAAACAACCGTAGGTAGAAATACTATTGTTAGTTTTCAGCCAATCAAGCCACAAATAAATGGACTCACTAGATGTAGCATTAGGTTTATCAGATTTTGGCAAATGTTTTAAAATTTATATTTCAGTTTTTAGACCTGTACTTGATGTATATGAGAACTTAGCCAAAACATCAATCATTTCAGGTTTTATTTCCATGTGTAGCAGACTAGCAATAGCTTCAATTAAGCTTAAAGTTTCTTGATTGAATCTTGAATCCATTGACGATAATAAATCACCAAGTAGTTCATAATAAACTGATATCTTCATTTCATCTAATTTATTTAAAAAAAAAAAAAATGAGATTTAGATTTGTTATCAATTTGAGTCGATACTTTTCTACGAATAACGTCTGGAACAATTATTCCATGTTTTTTACATAAAGCAACTGCTTGTTCAAAAATATTTCCAAATTCTTTGTTTTCATTTCTCATACTTTTAAGATTTAATGTTAAAGACCGTACATTATCAATTGCCAACAAAAGATTTAGTTTTAGTGATTGAAGTACTGAGCTAACTTTTAAAATAAGATTTAATATTGGATGCATCATAAACATGCCAAAAATGAACTCAAATCTTTTTTATGTATCGTTGTCATGGATGAGGATGACTTGTTGATACCCCAGTTCTCCTGTACTGATAAGCATGTTTGAGACATAGGGCGCTTCGGCCCTTGAAAAATCTCGGGGCGTGCCTGGGCAGTGGGCACGCCCTGTGCGCACGCCTATGGTTATGAATTTGGGTAAAAATCCGAAATTCGATTTAATAATGGCCAAGTTACACTGTAGGACGTAGGTAATTCTTTTCCAAATACTTTTTGACTGTCTTAATTGAAGCGGCATCATAGCTGTCAAATGTTTTTAAAACTGTCTGAATGTTCTCTAAATGTTCGCAAAAGTATAATATGGTAGCATTTATCCAAGTTCCCCATCTTGTTAGTATAGGTTCAGGTGGTAAAGGAATCTCGTTTGTTGTCATATTTAAAAATGTTTTTAAACGTAAGGGAGATTTTCGAAATACTTTTTTCACTGAAGATATTACCTTATCTAATTCCGAAAATTCATCAAGAACTTCTTCAGCGAGCCTGTGAAATGCATATGCAAGGCAGGTAATATGAATAACTTTTGAATAAAGTGTTTGTAATTTGTATAGCTTTACCCGCCTTAATTATATAAGGGGCTGCATCGCTTACAAACAATAAAACATTGTCATGTTCAACTCCTTCAGGCCACACTATCCCCATAGCTTTATTAAATAATTTGAATATTGTTGAATGGTTATTGGTTAGTTTTGTCAAGTTCCTCGGAATGCAATAAAAATATTTGACCGGCGTTATCAATTTTTAATGTTCCAAATTTCCAATAATACAATTTGCTACAAAACGCCAAGAGGCGTCCGTAGTTTCATCAATTGAAACCCAGATTCGTTTTCCGTTTACAATCGCCCTAATTTATAAAATAGTCTTCATTCGTGTATTTTTCTAAAAACCATTTAAATTCGTTGTTTGATAATTTATTTAGGGGAATATTTGACGAAAGCAAAGCCTTGCACAAATCTTTGTTGAAATTATTCTTTTTGCCTAGGTTGGTGTTTAAAACAAACTGCTGGTTCACCTTATTTATTTTATTTTCTTCCCGTTTAACTGCTCTATTATGCTTGTCAGTTCTTTGATGCTGGACAACATTGAAACGTTTGTCACTTCCAACTTTTATTTCTCAAAATTTACAAAATAAAACACACTACCGTCAGACGAAAATGTGTCTTTAAATTCTGAAACATAATTATATAACTTTGACTTTTGTACTGTCGGCATTTCAACAATTACTTTAGATTTCTTTACATTTATTTTGATTACTACCTTATTGCGTATAAAAATCTACGTTAGTGAAAAGCACGCGAGAGGCGAAAACAACGACGGATAATAATGGTCTGAACAAATAATCTATTATTTTATATCGATTATTATCTTTATCGACATCCGTTCGATAACCAGCGGGTTATAAGGTCGATACGGGTTTATAGTATTATTTATACTTACACAAAATTTTTTTTTTTTATATAATATATTTATACCCTCGGCAACATATGCCATTGGGCTTACAGGGAGGAAATTATAAATTACATAAATTGTATACTAAATCTAAATTACACTAAATTTTGGTTTGAAGATTGGTGGCTGTGATGAATTGGATTATGTTGACTATGGATTGAGGGTGATTCCTTAGTATTTCGGACAGTGATTCGGGCAGGTTGTGTCTTGTTCGGGTATTGTGGTATGTTCGGCATTCAGTGAAAATGTGGCTGATGGTGACTTGGACACCTCAGGATGTGCACATAGGGGGTTCTTCCTTGGCCATTAGGAAGCTGTGGAAGATTTTCGTTACACAAAAATTATAACGAGATATGAGAGATAGTTTGCAGATACCATATTACTTTAAGTATTAATACATTTTTTTTTTCGATCGTTTGAAATATAGTTTTTAATTTTAAATTTGAAAAATTTGTCAAAATATGCAAAATAGGCATAACAATTTTAAAATATGCACTTTTCTGAAAAATCTATCAATTATGCAAAAATATGTATATTCAAATTTTAGATCTGATATGGCACCGAGAAACGAATTTATTTCTCACTCTGCTATATTTAACAAATGCATATAATATGTCTTAAACCTAGACTGACATACCGTCTCTGTTCAGAATCGTTTTTCTTATACAATGATATTATATCATTGAATTCAAATGTAATACCATCCATTATACAGTGACCCACTTGTAACCTACTGTACAGTCGGCACCTTTTTTGTTTTAATGTCGCCCAGTGATAATTCCTTGAAATATCCACTGATTCATTAAGTACCTACCTGCCTATATTGAGTAGTGAATACCACTTATAATAAGTAAATACTTCATGCAAAATTATAATTACCTACCAATAACTATTTTAATTTAACTATATACATTAATTACCTAAATAATAAAAAGTAGGTAATAAAGTTTACTGTTTGAATTACGTATTTACGTATAATAAGACGTATTATGTATATAAAAATAATTAATTAATACAATGATTACAATGTAAATAATAATATGTTTTTAGAATATTTCTCCCCATGGCACTTATGTTTTTTCTTAACCATGGCGCCAGACCACATGTTCAAGAAATAAGTATTATAAAGTTGTTTTATCGATTCCTCCGACTGTTTATTAAACAATAACCGAAGTATCATGTTATACACAATTTTTTTTTAAAATATTTTAAAAAACAATTCAAACATTGTCGTCCACAACTTACAATATTACCCAATTATCCATATTATATAATTATGGCAGAAAAAAAACAACAAGGATTATTGGAAGTAAAAATTATAGTAATTTTATATACCTAATAATAATGTGTAGGTATACTTGATTTCCTTATTTTGTTGTAATTCAAAAACCATTAACTGTAAATACATGAAAATTTCTTTTTTATATTTTCATTTTATATATACCATAAAATTTTTGAAAATATTTTGTCTCATTTTGACACTTACAATTAGTTTACAGCTAAAAACTATGATTAAGATAACTTCGCAATTGATTCCATGACATACCCGACATCCCCCTTGCGCACTCCTAAGCTAATCATAGTAATAAATCCAGTACATCATAGACAATAGTTATAAATAATAAAATAAGAAAAACTCAAAAACAATTCTCTGCTGTCTCTTAATTTTATTAAAAATAAATATGTAATTCTAAATGTTTCGAGCGATGCTAATTCAATATTTCAATCTCGAACCATTATTTATACAGTTAAATGTAGGTACTTAGTTTATTTTATGAACAATTGCAAACAACACTACCGACATGAATTGTTAAATGACGATGTACTTACGAAAAAGACTTCTACTTAAATATTGTAAAAGTGGTTTGTTTGTATAAATGGTAGGATTATTCAGTCAGAGTCCAGTGGCGTATATAGGAAGTTTAGAAGGCCATGCAATGCCAAAAAATGTACACCCACCCACAGGCCACAGCCCAAAGGGTTGGGCCAGCTACCATCTAAATATAAACTCAAACATTGTTTTTGTTTACCTATTACTATTTGATTTTTTTTTTTTCTAAAAAATTAATTCTTTAAGTAAAGGGTTCTAGGGTACTTACATAAACAAATAAAAACTAATTTTATATTATTGGACTTCCACAATTAAAATAATTTAAATAGAGTAACTACTCCTAAAATTTTTTAATTGACATTAAAAAATAAAAGAGTATCAAGTATTTGGCATTATAAAGTAGTTTATAACCATTCAAAATGTACCTATACATAATTCACATATATATTTAATTTACATATACCACAGAGTAAGAATATATAATGTATATGACATATACATATTTAAGTTTAGACACTAAACAGTAACAGTTACCAATAAAAAATTAACTTTAATTGAAATATTAAACATATAAAATAATTAAAACATTTTTTTTTTTTACAATATCTTAAAAATATCATATTCACAATTTACGACTAACAAAATGTTCTTATATACTACAGTCTACAGTGTCTACACATTATTATATAAAACACAGAATATTATTAATTTTTAAAAAGTTGTGGTTGATTATTCCAAAAATACGAAATATGTAAATTAAAAGTACAATAAATGATTAATTATACTCGTAAGAGATGAAAAATTAATAATTTAATATTTTAAACAATAGAGGACTAGTTTGACTAAATAAATTGAGTACTTCTTCATAATCAATATTAATATCATATTCACAAGATATAGTCATTAAACTTTCTAGCCTATCATTTGTCATAGTAGAACGTAGTCTACTTTTAATTAATTTTAATTTAGAGAAACTTCTCTCTGTAGAAACGCTTCCCACTGGTAATGTCAATGATATTTTTAAAAATATGTATATATTAGGAAATATACCAACAAGATTATTTTTCATGAACATTCTAAAAAAAAAAAAATAAAAACATAATTTAAAGATACAATTAAATTGATTAATTTCAAGGTAGTTAATGAGACCAACCTTTTAAGTATAATACTAACCTAAATATTGGTAGTAAACTTCTGAGGTTTTCATTACACGCATCATCTATATCTTCATTTTCTTGACAACTATCACTGTTACTGTTATCACTGATATCATTATTTTGATAATCATGGAGACTGGTTGGGAGTTCATTTGTTTTAAAAAAAGCATCAATGCATTTAGTGAATGTCAAGTACTCTGATTTAAGTTCATTAATATTCAAATACTTTCCATACACACCACAAAATGCCATAAACGCATCACTAGGAAGTCTGTTTGAGTCTAATTGAACTTCTTTAATTCGTTTTTTAGTCATGAGTGCAATATCTTTATAAACACCAATTTGCTGTACATTATTTTCACTTTGATCAAAAAACCGTCGATTTAGTTCAGAAGTTACTCGATCAATAACTACAAAAAAGGTATTAACACGGAAATTTGTATTAGAGCATGCCAGTGGCTCATCCCGACTTGTTTCTCCACACATCACTTTTTTTCTTCTAATTCGTCCTTCTACTAAAGATGAAAATTCCAAACTAGTATTTTCAATAAATTCATCTGCATTACTTATTATATTTTTCAAAGCTTCATCTGTACGTAGTTGGATTAATTCTTCATACTTGCTTTGTAATAAAAGTGTTGCTGAAAGAATATCATAGTCTTTTTTTTGTAAAATTGCTGATACCGGTTCTAAAATGGTTAAAACTGTTTTAAAACAGAATGCTGTATAAACAAATCTCTTTGATAGTAAATAACTCAAAAATCCATTAGCTTCTGATCTTGACTTATTATCACATGTAACTTCACTATCACACATCATTTCTAATGTTTCAATAATAGCTAAAAAAGTTTTTAGAACATTATCCAAAGCTGCTTTATGTAACATCCATCTTGTAGTGGACACTCGCTTCAATCTACGTACTTGCTCACCAGGATACAAATTTTTCAAATTATTTTCATATAATGAACTACGTATTTTACTACAAGAAATGAAGTCATATAATCTCTCAAGGTTACCATATAAATCCATAGCATTTGTACAAGTGCTTGTACAATCTGAGACAACAAGATTGAGTCGATGACTACAGCACCAAACAAATATTGCTTGTGGATTTTCTTGAATAATTAAGCTTTGAATGCCATTGTATTGACCTCTCATATTTGATGCACCATCGTAAGATTGTCCAATAAGATAGTTAGTCCAGTCAAGACAATGAGTTTCACAAACTTCTTTAAATATATCAAAAAGATTTTTCCCAGTGGTTTTTGGTGTATCTCTTAAACTTAGAAGAAGTTCATTTATTTCTAAAGTATCTTCATCTATATATCTAAATATAAAGGAAACTTGCTCTTTATGGGACAAGTCAAAGGTTGAGTCTATAGAAATACTAAAGAACTTTGATTTTTTAATGGCATTGACAATTTTTAATTGTATAAACTTTGATATTGAATTTATTAAATCATTTTGTCCATGACATGTGATAAATGAATACTGAGGACGTTTATTTAATCCCATTTCTTCCAATTGACCAATATAATTTGATAGTATAAGTCTCTAAAATTCCCTTTTAAAGTGCTTTGCCGATCTTCTTTATGGCCTCTAAATGCTATGTTATGACGTCCCAAGTATAAGGTAATATCAATTAGTGTTTTGATTATTTCACGGTTCATAAATACTTCTTCTTTTTTTTTAGATGTAAGTGAAGGTATAAGTGGTAGGGAAGATTGTCTAATTTTTTGTTTTATTGATGAAAAAACATGAGCTGATGACACCTCATGACCAGTAATACTGAGAGAACAAGTTGACCAATTTTCAAAACCATTTAGAATCCAAGCTTTATTTGGGGTTTCTTTGCCTTTTCCAGGAAATAATATACAGCTTAAACAAAACATTCGCATATTTGATTTAGAATATGACAACCAATCTCTTTTAATGACTGACCCATCTGGTAGTTTCTTTTTGTATAAGCTTGGAATAAATCTATGGCCTTTTCTTTTTGGATAACATTTTTCAGGGAGTTCTTCGGGTTGTGGTTGGCAAGGACCTAACTCCAAAATTTTTGATATCAATTCATATGAAAGATCTTTTATTAAACAAAACTGAGCAGGATCATTGTCCAAAAAAAAGTACTTTTCTTTTTCTATGAAATAAAAATAAAATACAAATACAAATAAATGTTAAACACAATCTTACAAAATATATTTTAAAATTATGTATTTACCTTCAATGCATTCCAATGTTATGGGTTTGTTATTACCAGGGCTCGTAAGTTCATGCCCTAAAAAATGCCTAAATAAGCATGCATTTATGCACTTAAAATTGGCAAAATATGCTTTGAAATATGCCTTAAAAAGTTAAAAAATATGCATTTATATGCACTAAATATCTCAAATTATGCACTTAAAAATGCTTACTTAAAATTCTTTTATTTATTTTTAATAATTTTTTTATTTTTGAAATAACATGAATTATCCATTCATTTTTTTTATAGCTATATTTTATTATTTATGGATTATTTATTATCTATTTATCTATTATTTATTATTTATCGGTTTATGGACGGATGTCGTTAGTCCTCGTAGACCTAGTCGTTCCAAGAAACTATTGTTAAATTTACGAGTATCAAGAAGATAAGAAAAGAAAAGATAATAAAATTTCTATTTTTAATTTTATACATATTTTTCATTTGCATTTTTGATAGATGCTAATAGAATATTGTATAATATGCCCGATAAAGTAGAAGTATGCATAAATATGCCAAATAGGCAAAAAACCTCTAAATATGCAAAAACATGCAAAATAAGATTTCACATATTTAACTGTGTAACCTTGAAATAGATTTCTATGTCATCTAGCATTAAATACAACTTAGCAAGATTGATATGCAAATGCATGAACTTACGAGCCCTGGTTATTACATATATCTTTGTTTAATAACTTTGGAGAATTTAACTGCTGGGTAGTCAAGATAGGTTGGACATCAACAACATCTAATTGCATTAGTTCACTTGTATTTTCTGCATTCATTCACAAAAAAACAAAAATAATTATATTCAAACTGAATAATTTTAGTGAAACAAACTAAAATTATTATTGATATTAGTAGGTAACATTCATAAATATAATTAAAACATACATGCTACATTATATATTTTAAAATTATGTATCTACCTTCAATGCATTCCAATGTTATGGGTTTGTTATTACATATATCTCTGTTTAATAACTTTGGAGAATTTAACTGTTGGGTAGTCAAGATAGGTTGGACATCAACAACATCTAATTGCATTAGTTCACTTGTATTTTCTGCATTCATTCACAAAAAAACAAAAATAATCATATTCAAACTGAATAATTTTAGTGAAACAAACTAAATTTATTATTGATATTAGTAGGTAACATTCATAAATATAATTAAAACATACATACTACATAATTTACAATAATATAAATAATAAGATGAATCTATCTACCACCTGTAAGCAAGCTTGTGATGATGGTAGAGAGTTACAAAATCTAGTAATTAATACAATAATTGATAAAAATATAAATAAATAAACAAATACATGAATTATAATATACATAAACGATAAACACTAGTCTAAATGAGTTTCTTTTTGAGATTTGAATTTTTAAGATTCCTGGAGTTATCGTATGAGAGTGGGGCAGATTTGAATGAAATTTACATTTTATTTTTTTAATTTTTAATTTTTTGACAAATTGTATATTTGATAATTACAATCTGTAGTCTAGATAGTTGTGAATACTATTTGACTTATAACAACCTTATATATTAAATAACCAATTTAATTTCTAATTATGAAGTGAAGTATATTTTTATTCAAATGTACCCCACCCATGGGGTACATTTGAACGTGCAAGGGGTAGATTTGAATATGTGTCTTAAAAGCCACATTTGAATGTTAAATATTAAATTAAATTAAACTTTTTATTTATTTTAAGAATAAAAATAGCTCAATATAATATAATAACAATTTTTTACAATTATGTTTAGATGTTTTCTTGTCAATTATTTTTTTCTTGTGAAAATGTAGTATTTTTGGGTTTTCTTATAGATAAATCCACATCTTGTGACATAAATCCAGTTAACTAGTATATTCCATCCATAAGATAGATATTTCAAAAAGGAGGAACCTTTATTACACCCTATTATCTACCCTATTGATGAAGATTCAAATCTACCCCATGCCAAAATAATCAATAATAATAGTAATATAAATTTTAATAATTATAAATAATGTATGTACATTCAACGTATTACTAGGCAACAATATTTCGAATAGGTATATTTAATTCTAAACTTATTATTTTGAATTTTAGTTTCCAAAATGTTCTTATGGAAACACCTATTTTTTTTTTTAAAAAGCCGGAAAATCACATTATCATTTTTATTTATCACAAAATTATTCAAAAATGCCTGATAATCACATATGGTATACAAAATATTGTCACCAACTTAGATTATTATTTTTATGAATGTAAATAATCTGTAACAAATTATATTAGACAAATTCAAAAGTACCCCGCATTCAAATCTGCCCCACTCTCCCCTACTTATTTTAATATTAATTGGCAGTGAGTTGAAATATGTGGGACTAAGATAATTAACAAATTTTTGCCCAAAAGATTTTTAAGTATAAGGTATCTTAGCATTGTATGCTCTATTTTCTCTTTTTTCATTAATGTTAACGACGTCCACCCATTGATAATAATTTTTAACTATGAAAAATATAGCTATTTTTTTGTAAAGTTTTTCTAGTGATAGAACATTGAATAGTTTAAAGTTTTCTATTGTTGATCCTTCTAGGCTTATCTTACTCAGACAGATCCTAATTATTAATCTTTGTTGTATTATTAGTGGCTGTAGTGCGTTTTTGGCTGTACCTCCCCAGACCAACAGGCCGTATTGTAATATTGCTTGATATAAGGCAAGATAAATTATTCTTAAAGTATGAACTGGTAAAAAATTCCTTAATTTATAAAATTTGAAAGACACTGTTCGTAGTCGTGACACAATATTACTCACGTGTAGATAATATATTTTAAAATTATGTATTTACCTTCAATGCATTCCATTGTTATGGGTTTGTTATTACATAATATATCTTTGTTTAATAACTTTGGAGAATTTAACTGCTGGGTAGTCAAGATAGGTTCGACATCAGCAGCATCTAATTTCATTAGTTTGCTAGTATTTTCTGCATTCATTCACAAAAAAACAAAAATAATAATAATATTAGGTACAGATGTACAATTTAAAACTGAAATCTGAATAATTTTAGTGAAGCCAACTACAATTATTAGAAAGTATCATTACTAACAATCACGAACAATCATAAATATAATTACACACATACTACATCATATTATAATGTAGGTACTTTAAAATTGTGTAAAAACCTAGTTACATAAATCTTATATAATTCTAATATGTAACATAAAAAATAATAAAAATAAAAAATGAAAAAAAAAAGTCAAGGGGCAGATATATCTCTAATTTTCCCCCATAAATACGCAACTGACTTAATTAAAATTTAATTATAATTTATTTAATTATAATTTATATAATATTATAAATTATATATTATTTAATTTTATTTATTTTTATAATTTAATTACTTAATTTAAATTCCAACTTACCCAAGTTTGTATGGATTTCGCAAATTTGTTCAAGTTTTTTTTGTTTTTTCGTGCAAAATGATGCTATAGAGCGCGTATCTTTTAATGCCTTCATAATTGTACAACTTTCTAAATGCCGAAGCCAATTTGTATTGTTCAAATTTCCTTGAGTACGACCGCAACGACATTTTTTTATTTTATTGTCACTCATTGTTTGTTAAATAATTTAGTAAAATAATTATTGTAAATGTAAAATGATTAAGAAGCCTCTTAAGAAAGAGTAGAGTTGGAAATAATAAATTAAACGTGATTCGTGGTACAATAACACTGTATACAAAATACAAAAACTAATAAGTAAAAATTAAAAATTAAATTTAAATTGATATTACTGATATCGATATAACTGGTAGTAAACATGAAAAATATTAACTGTTAACAGTATTACAATAATTCACGTTTATTATGTAGGTATAAGGTATATAAAAAGATTTATCAACTATCTCCTGCTCGGACCCGCACCACTATAAATAAATATCCGTTTAGCACGATTATGGATGTCTTGTCGATTGCTTATCTCGTTCTGTATGAACAATGAATGTTTCATACTTCATCAATATGACAATATCCTACTAACTACTCAGTACTCTCAGTATCTTTTATATAAATATCAAGTATCTATAAATAATTTAAATTTTATATCGAAAACACAAAACATTGATACCAACGACCAACCCATCCAGTCCCCACCCACCCTGAGTTGTGACAACCCATGCAGTTGCATTACTTGAGACAATAGATATACGCCACTGAGTCAGACACTTCGCTAGATAAGCGTTTCTCTATCCGTTCACGATTTGGCGGTCCGGCGTAAATGTAAGTGAGTGCAGATAATTTCGAGCATCTTAAGTTGTTAACTTAATTATTATTGTGTACTTAAATGTAGTTGTATTTTCAAACCTAGTTATTTGTTCAATGATTTTTCGTTTTTGAAATGTCTATAATATTTTTGGTAGCAGTGGTGGAATAGAACGTACCTATTTGTTTTTTTTTTAGATTAATATAATTATACGTGGGTACCAAGGACTTTAGTAGATATTTTTTTGATCCTAAACTCAAATTTAACTGTCACATTGACAACATTGTTAAGTGTTAACAGATCAAATAAAACCTTATAGGTTTCATTTTTTTAAGTTGTGACGTTAATAAAAAACTTGTTCTAAAATCCATACTGCTGTTTGACACGTTTTATTTGTGAATGTGGCTAAATATTAAAATCGATTTGTTCATACTACATTACTACCAAACATCGACTCTTTAAAATATATTATAATTTCATAATTCTTAATTTATAGGTATATGTATTTTGTATTTTTATTTGTGTATTGTATTTCATTATTTTTCCTTTTTATTATTTACGAACGATTGACCGATTGTTATTATTAGGTACCTATCTATTAATGTATGTAATTGGGCCTGTCCCGTTTAAAACTTAAATAAAAAAACTTATATTTTTTTTTTACTCAAATTAAACAATCTATACAAGTTTTGTGCGATAAGCTCAAGCGATATTATAATTAAGTTTAACTGTAAGTCTTGAGGAAGAAACCGCTCAATGAGAAAACTCCCGACTCGCCTGTATAAAATAGCCGCCATCTTTAGCAAGCTTGACGCTATATATTAGCAATATTTACATTGATATAATTCGTTAGCCGTGTAATAAACCGTACCTAAAAGGTATACAGAAAAGTATTATAGTGATAGTGAACTAATTTGATGAAACTTCATATATTCTGAGGTTGTAGTAATAGTGTTACACTATACGTAAAAAAACAATTACCTACAAAATGTTGAAAATTACAAATATGTCGACTATTGTTTTACAACCATGCGAATTTTGATTTGGATTAGGTACTTATAAGTTCATATTATATTCACTTGCAAATCGCGAATAAATATGCGTGACAGTTTAGTGTGATTATACCATAAAATTAGCGTTCTATTTGGGTGACAGATAAAAAAATATCAGGACATAAAGCTCACTTAAATAATGGTAATATAATTATTTAAATACTGATAATGCAGTACCTAACGTTAAAGTTGCGCATTTGCGCCTGTATGCATACTATTTACAATGTAGTACCTACTTGAAAATGTTATCAAATATACACAATTTAATTTTTAAACAAAAATCATGATAAAGTATTTTTGGCATTTAAAAAAACCACAACCAAACGAAAATTCAGTTAAAAAAAGGCGGGAAAGTGAGTGTTGCTCTGCTGTACACTAATTTACAAAATTTTCGTAATCAGCCAAAACGAGTCAAAATATTTTGAAAATTTGATCGAGTATAGGAAATGATAAAATAAATGTATAGTAAATGGTATAAATTTCAAATATCTAGAGTTATTCGTTTTTAAATTAACATCACCATTAGGAAACCTTGTAATTATTCACGTGTATTAAAATGTAGTTGAATATTGAAACCACATTTTTTGTTATTCATTTAATTTTTTGTACGAACATTATAATTATTAATTGTTTTTTATTTCTTGATTTCAGTACCTAAATACGCAAGAATCATAATATTATGATACTTGTGTGCACTGTCTTGTAAACTCAGCGGTCTGAGTGCAGATACTTTTAGAGGGCGTAGAACAGTTCCAAAATAAAACTTAGAAAAAAAATATATGCGGCTTGATTATGTGACAGTAGAATTATGAAGTTATATCCTATGCAATAACCTCGCTTTAAAAAATTGTGCTATTATTTTTCAACATAAAAAAATTTGAAAGTCCTATTGTTTTTGTTTAACCTAAGAAGTAGAAGTAATAAACATTTCATCAATATCATTTAAGTGATATTTATATTTTTAGCACATTAAATTTTGATAAGGATCATATTATACAGTCATACCTATAAAGCGATCTAAGTCTGCGCATGCCTATAGTCTATTATAGAGATGTATGATGTATGTACCTATATGGATACTCTTCATGTAGATCATATTATGCATGATATATATATATATAATGACTTCGATCAATTGCACCTGGATTGTCGTTAAAATATGTCTATCATATGCATTAATTATAAATGTGCATGTAAATTTATTTTATCTTGTCATTGTCGCGTTTCTTACAATATTTATGTTGTTGTCGATTTAGTATGCTCGTTTCTTGTACACTGAAAAATGGCTGTAAATGACTCGACCGATGCGATGGCCGCATTATCCGTCAACGATGACCTCTGGAAAGAACTCGGATTGGACGATATCATTCAGACACAGCTAATCAAAATTGAAAATGATTATGAGAGCATTTTCTCCTGGGACATCCAGCGACTAACAGGAGTCAGTCAAAATCTTAGGTTGAACCTTGTTGATAAAGTTCGGGAAAAACAAGAAATGCTCACAGGCATGGACAGCTGCAAGAATGATGAATTCAATTTAAATAAGTAACCATCAAAGTTTTATGTAAAACTAATTTTATCTATTTTATAGTTTATTTTTGTTAATAAACAATCACCTGTAAGTAGGGCCAGTAAGGGAGACTGGGTACAATTGTACCACGCATAGGCGTGCGCAGACCTTGTCCACGGGGGGGGGGGGGGGCTTAAAAATGTCTGAACCAAAGATTCTTGTACTAATGACTACCTTAAAAAGGGGGGACTTCTTACATGTGGGGTGAATTCGGACAATACCATGTTTTTTTTAGTTATCATATAATTTTAGAATACACGTAAAATAAAAGTTGAAAACTGATACTCCAAGTTAATACCTATTATTAACCTCCATAGAAAATAATAATTATCGATGACATAATTGTGTCATAGTACATGTTATGGAGGTAAATACAAAATATTATATTATTATAAAAATATTTGATTGCGTGTTTTGGTAACCTATGCATAAAAATGGTATACAACTGTATAATAAAATGTTTTATTTATGGGGGGGGGGGGTTAAACCCCTAACTCAACCTCATCGGTGTTAATTGGTATATGTGCAAATTGTTAAGTTACTTGATCTCACACTGTAGTGTTAAATCGTCTTAATTATTAACAAATGAGGGGTGACTTCGGACAACACATTAACTATGCCCAGTCGCCCAGATCATGTGTTAACAATGTAGGAGGTCGTCCGTATACAAGAATTATAATCCTAATGATATTTAAAATGTAGTAGATGGTGTTAGTTATAAAAAAATGACAACACAATAAGTAAAAACAGAAAAGTAAAAAATACATTTTAAGTTGACATGTTTATAGAAAAGTAAAGAATTATTTTTTTAGAATATTAAATAAATAAATTACGAGTAATTATTCGTATGTTGTATTTGCGATAGATATAAGGGGTTTTTTTATTTCAATTTATTACATTTTTTTTAAAAATATCTATATTATCCGAAGTCAACCATTGTAATTATAACATCGGTTTTCAATAAAATCTAATAGGTAAATGTCTGAATTCACCAAATTTTACGGGTCACTCCGGAGAAAATTGAACTTGTGAAAAAAAGTGTGAACTTTAATCACCTTAATGATTATTCTACTGCTATATGATCTTCTTTTCACTCTTTATAACAGTATTTTATTTATTTGTTAATTATAATATGTGAAAGTTTAATACTTTAATGTAGGTAATCAGAATATTCTGTTTTTTTTAGGTCTCGTTATTTGTAATTACTATTTTAACTAACCTATGTCTATGTGGTACATAATATTATCTAAAAGTTACAACCGTGAAATAACGTAAATATATAAATAAAGTACCTAGTTGATAGATACACTGTGATAAAAAAAGTAGTCCACTATAGTCTATAGCTAATATCGTGGATAGAAGAGTATTCTGTGATAATAATAAATCATTTGGTCGATGATAACTAATTAACTAATAACTTTATTACATTTATTCACAGATATCTATAATACTATGAGATTAAAACTAGCTTCACTTTTTTCATGTAAAATGTAAAAATGTTCACTATCTAGTTTAGCTTAGATATCTGTGTATTTATTTTTAAAAAAGCCTGAGGCCATAGGGGCGCCGAGGACCCCCTCCACTACGCAAGCCTATGGTAATACGGGCAATAAGTTGTTCAATAATCAATATAAAAATCTCAAAAAAATTTAGCAGTTGGCCATCTGTATAACAATCGATGTTTAATGATCAAAATTATGATAACTAGATAACTTTTTGAAAAAAAAAAATTAAATGTGTTTTTGATAACAGATTGTAAATAAAAATCATAAAACTTACTTTTTTATTCGAGTAAAGATTTTTAATTATATGTTTGGCTGTAGTTATTTTTATATACACCAAAAGTAGTGCAGTTTTTTTTGGTTCTGGTCTGAACACTCTAACTAGTCAGTATTTTTTCGAATACATAAGTATTTACAAAAATATTGAAGGGGTACAAATGTAACAGTCACCTTCAGTGATACACTGTTGCACCTATTTTATTTTAAGTTATTTAAATGAAATTATTTTATGTTATTTAAATCATATTAAGTTATACATATTTAAGAATTTAAAAGTAAAAAGTTATGTAACTATTTATTATTTCAGATAATCTGTTTACCAAACTCATATTTTATTTTAATTAAAGGTTATTATGCTATAAATATTTTAACAATTTAACAGTCAAAAATTATGTTACTATTTAAGGTAATCTATTTACCAATAAGTTATGTTTTATATGTTTTATAATAATATAAAAAAGTAAAATCATGTATGTAACTTTAGTCAATAGCACTGTTACAATTGTACCCTGTATCAGGTAAAATTGTAACATATATTTTTTTCTATATTTATATTTATTCAACATCATGTGGAAATAAAGATTCAATACACACATATTTTGAAAGGCAACAACTTACTTTTCTAATTGAAAGTGTAAACGAATCAAAACATTTTGAATTTTAGCAGAAATAAATAATTTTTGAAAATTGTTACAATTGTACCCAGTCTCCCCTACCTAGGTACTATCAATCCTGGATTGCATTTTATTAGGCATTGACGTATTCTTAATATTAAATACATAGGTATCTATATTAATTTTGTTTACTGTGCAGGGTGATAGATATTATATGTATAAGTGAAATATTTTATAAATTAAATGGTATGCAGTTATAAATTATACAATTTTAAATTTAATGATAAAATATGAACCATAAATGTAGAAAATATATCTAAAGTGAAAGTGAAATTATTTTATTTTATTTTATAGGTTTTACTTACAATTGGTAGCTAGTTATGAACTTTACAATAGTAAACGTTATAAGGAATCATATTTGGAAATTGAAAACGTTGTTAAATTTCTGGAGACGTGTAAATTTGACGAGTCAAACGAACAGTACGCTGATGCTTACCATCATATTGCTCGGGCCTCCAATGCGTATATTGCATTAACATTGAAAATTGATTCAGAAAAGGTAAATTTTAATTATTGTTTATTCCAGTTTGTCCTATATCTATTGTCCTAACCTATGTCTATTGAATAGTGAGTACCGCCTAAAATATGTAAATTCTCCATTTATAATTAAAAATAAATGGTTTCCACTTACCGACAATCATTTTAATTTAATTGTATAAATTAAGTACCAAAGTAATAAAGTTTACTGTTTTATTAATATCATATAATATCTATTATTTATTTATCATACATTTACAAGACAAGCCTTTTGTATAAAAACATTATAAAACATAACATAAGTACATATTATTACCTACTTAAAGATATACACATAATTATATAATAATAATGCATTTAAAAACTAACAAAAGATAAAATTAAATTACAAATATGAGTATTATTACAGCGCTAGGTATGTCAATTACGAAAATTAGTGTCAAGTTGACTTCTATAAAGTTTTTATATTACCTATGACTTTGTGAGGTATATTTTGTAGTATGGAGCCGTTATGTGGGATCAAGTACTGCTTGTGGTATGAAACAAATATAACGAGAATACAACGGAAGTTTCTTATATCTTTTATATTAAAAATTTATCACCCATCCCATGACTATTAACAGAGTGTAGGTATAATAATAATTATTTCTTTATTACGGAATAAATTCCAATAACAATAATAACAAAATAAAAATAATAATAATCAATAAGTTATAAGTAGTTTAGAAATTAATTATTTAAATAACAATAATAATGAAATACAAGAAAATGCTTATCGTGAGTGCTTAAGGAAATAAATCAAAATGTATTGCAGTGTTACCTGCAGACATTAAAATGTTAGCAGGACTGTGTGACATATTATATTTAGTTTTAAAATTTGACAGATAAAATGTATGTTTAATTCTAGAGTTAATTGTATTTACCTTAAAGTTTAATTCTCCAAGAAGTTCTGGACAATCGATCATATTATGCAATAATTTAAATAGGAATCTTAAATTTAATGTAAGGTATCTATTTTTTAAAGAATCAATTCTAAAAAAATTACTGATTATATTATATTAGTAACCTTTTATCAGATCCCTTTTAATTTAAAATTTGTATTTGGATTCTGTCAGTATAAATATTCAAAGATGCCTTAATTGTTGGTGTTGAGATTCAGCTGAGATCTGAGTTATCAGTGTCATTTATGGATGTTTACTTTTGTCCACCAATCTTGTTTTGTTATTAATAATTCATATTAAAGGTTAAACCACGCAATAACATATGTTTATTAACAGGCCATATAAATTATTTATCTAATTAATTTTTCTCTCTCAGTTACTCAATGATATTAAACAAATCAACAATTTTAATTGTGCTGAGAAAGCTGCAATTTGTGCGGTTAAAGCCAGAATTTTTATGGAATATCCTCCAAAAGGAAACGATATTGCTTTAGAATTTGCTTCTCGAGCATGCAACCTCTATTCTGCAGAACATGAATGGATAATCGTTTGGTTAAAAGCCAAAGGACGAGTAAGGCGTTATTACCAACCATTTGATATGGCTGATAATGATGAAATGGATGCTGCAAAAACGTTATGCTCAACAAAATTAAAGTCTCACATTTTAATTGAAGTTTCTCAACTTTACAAGGAAGCAGGATTTGTTAATAAAATAAAAAACAACTACAATGAATCCAACAAATATTATACGCTTGCATCTAATATTGCTAAGTAAGTCGTTTTTCTAAGTATCTACTAAAAGATATTGATAAGTAAGTAAGTAAATAATGAAAGTTAGTAATAACTTACTTAAAAATTCTATCACACATTTTAATGTGCTTATCATATATGTTTTAAATTATAGTAAAAAAAAAAAGATTAAATCTATTTTTACTATGTTGTTCACTATTCATTTATCTTATTTTTATTTGCTTATTCATTTATTTTCAATTGAACGATATCGATGTGTTTTTTTGGTAGAAAATCAGTTGAATTAGCAAAAGATGATACAATACAACTTTGTTTTATTTTAATGGCATGTATCGATTTTCCAAAACTGTTGTCAAAATCCATTATAGACAATTTAATTACAAAACTCACAAATGTTCAAAATAGCTGTGTGGATGAAGTTCTAGGCTTATATTATTTAAAACAGGAACAGGTATGATATTTATTAAATTATAGGTATTGGGATAAAAAAAAATTATTCAATTATTATTTGTTTTGTTTCAGGATTATGGAAAAGCAAAAATTCATTTACTTCGTGGAAAGGCTGCTGGTCAATTTCGTAGTGCATTGCAGTTAATCAGAGTAGAGTGCCTGTTACAATCTGTCAATACATTTCCTTACGTAAACACTCTAAATATGATGTATGATGATTTTTCAAACCCAGTGAGAAGGCTAACTATTTTATTACATTTATTGATGTATTACAATTATTGTGAAAAAAATCCGAAAGAAATGATGCGCTACCTAAAATTGTACATTGATCAAGACGTCGACGATACTTTAAAAAAACGGCATTTAATTGTAAGTTGATGTTATTTGGTATATTAATACTTCAAATTATTTGTAATGAAGAGTAAGATTATTATAGGCATAAATTACATTTTTTTATCTTCGCAAATAGGTACATATAAAAACAAAAAATAATTATGTATTTACAAAATTTAGGAATTAGGTAGTTGAAATTATAAATGATCTATGCAATTCATTATGGGCATATAATATGATTTATTAGTACGATAATTTGTTGAAACTTATGCATGTTATAGTTGATGCTATATGTGCATAAAAATTTCTCAATGCATGTTTTGTATATAAATGTTGTTTTATAAAGTGGTATCATTATTTTTTATGATTTTAGTTTGTTCGTCCATTGTTTAATGTGGGCAGATATATTAAATCAAATGAATTTCTGAATGTTCTATTTGAGAATCTAAAAGATTTAATGAACTATAAGTGGAGTATAGAAGAAAAAAAGACGGTTGACTACACATTTGATTGGTTCAATAAAATTTTAAAATTAAATATTGATGGTGATAATTTTAATGATGGTAATAAAACCACTATTAATGAAAAAAATTTATCTTGGCGAAAACAGCGGGTTGATTTATCAGAAAATAAGTCTAATGAAATTCATCAACAGAAAAATGAATCTTGGAGAAAACAACGAAACCCAAAGGTATGAATAATAATATGTCAGTCATCTATTTATTCTATCTGATGGTTGATATAAAAAAGATAATACTGTGGATTATTCAAAACCAGACTCTTCATAAAAATATACATAACTTTATTTATATTTTACAAGACTATGTACCTACCTATTGTACCAATAGTATATTACATTTTATATTGGTAAATATATTAATATTTTGACTATTTATTTATTTTTCCAAAAACTCACCAACATTAGTTGTTGTTTCCACACATTAGATAAGTTTGATAAAATAATTATGATAATGATTTGAATAAAATAATAAAACCGCTTTTCATAAAAAAAAAAAAAATGAATCTTGGTAAAAACAATGAGGTTTATCAGAAAATAAGTCTAATGAAATGCATCAACACCAATTTTCTTCAAAATACATTGTATGTCTTATGGCTGGGGTCATTCTATAATTTTGTGTGATACGGAAAGCGTTGCCATGACAACCAAACAATAACAAAGATTGAATTTTAACCTTAACCTGACCACGAGGCACGTCTTGTTCGTCGCAGACCCTTTTGCAACGTCATCATACATTTGGAGTTCGTTGAGTATCTACACGTGTTGCTTCTCTCATCTGGCGGACACATGCGAACACTGAACACCTAGCCGAATTTATAATTAGTTTTTAGTTAAATTTTTGAGTAAACCACGGTCGTGGTTAAAAAATATCATGTATATTAATGCGTGGTAAAATTCATATTATTTTATAAGACTATTGTAGGTTGTTGTGTACACGAAATATGTGCCCTGATTGCGACTCAAAGTATTACCCTTTTTACCTTTTTATACCTATCCCGATTGTGGCCTGTACATATTAATATTATCAAAGGTGGGCAAGTTAATGAAAATAATTAACTCAAGTTAAATAAAGTTAAGAGGACACAAGATCGATTAGTTAAAAGTTAGCAGTTAACAAATTATAAATTTAACTCGATAAGTTAAAAGTTCAAATAGAAAAAAATATTAACTTAACTCAGTTTAAAAAAGTTAATCTATTTTAGATTCTGAGTGAAACGATGAATGTATTGGTTTTACAATGATGTATGTTTTTTGTTATATTTTTATATTTTTGTGTCTGTCATCACGTTTTAGGACAGTAAAAGTGCTTCGATTGTCTTCAATAGTACCTTTTCTGATAGGAAAGTGAATCTAGTTGGTACTTTGGGGGGTCAAAAGTAAACATTTTCCAGTAGTTTTCACAAGCGCCGGGAAAAACAACATAAAAATTAAGGAAAAACGGGAATTTTTACGCAAAATTGGTTTTCCAAAAAATCGATTTTGGTTATTGGTGTAACTCTAAAACAAATGAACGTATATACATGAAATTTTCACTGGTTTTAATATTTGCATTTTCTATACACGATAACATTTTCAAAATTTTTTGATTTATTTTGAACTGTTTAGGGACATTTTCATTTTCCATTTTTTTTTAGTTTTTTTTCTAAAAATATCAATAAAATTTTATTTGTTGGTTGCAAAAGCTTGAAAATTTAATAGAAGGCTCCTAATATGTTGTTTCAAAGGCAGATGAAAAATATTAAAAATCCTTAGTCACAATTTTTTTTTATAAGCATTTAAAGTTCAAAAATTGACAAAATATGGAAAAATCACGAAAATTAGCAAATTATTTTGAGTTAAGAATTCGTAAAAATTTTTCTTTTTAAATCTAAGATTTGAAAATGAAACACAAGATTCCTTATAAGATTATCTACCTTTATCAATAAAAAAATCTCTACCGGACAGTCAAATTAAATTTTTATGAGCGTTTGAAATTCAAATTTTTACAACATTGGATTTTCACTCGATTTCTCATGTAGCGATTTCCTTATTTTGTTGCAATTCAAAAACGAACAACTGTAGATACATGAAAATTTCACTGAATGTTTATATTAGCATTTCCTATACATCATACAATTTTGAAAATATTTTGACTCTTTTTGAGCTGTTTATGGACATTTACAGCTTTCAATTTTTTTTAGTTTTTTTTTCTATAAATATCAATAAAGTTTTATCTGTTGGGCCAAAAAGTGTAAAAATTTAATACAAGGCTCCTGATATATTGTTACAATATCAGTTGAAAAATATTAAAAATACATTGGCACGATTTTTTTTTATAAGCATTTAAAGTTGGAATTTTGACAAAATTTATCAAAATATCGAAAATTATCAATCGTTGGAATTAAAAAATTATAAAATGTTCAGTTTTTATAACTAAGAGTTGAAAATTTAAAACAAAGATTCTCTTAAATAATTCATACTGTAACCAAAAAATCTAAAAAATATATAAACTCACTTATTTTTTACAGACATTTTAATTTCAAATTTAGACAAAATTTCATATTTAAACCAAGAATTACGATTTTAGTTATTTTGTTGTGATTGAATAATATTATTCGTGTGTACTTGAAACTTCTAAAGTGTACTATTATATATCTATGATAGTATCACGGTTTTTGTTGATGTATAACGCGTTATAAGTATCTAATGGATATTGTGATATGATTAGTTTGGAATTTATTATAGGTACCTTTATAGGTCAATTTTTTGTTTAATACCATAGATATGTATATAATATGTCTTATACATAGACTGACATACCGTCACCGCTCAGAATCGTTTTTCTTATACAATGATATTATATCACTGAATTCAAATTGAATACCATCCATTATACAGTGACCCACTTGTAACCTACTGTACAGCAGAGCGACACCCACTTGCCCACCTTTTTTTTTTGTGTCTGTCATCACGTTTTAGGACAGTAAAAGTGCTTGGATTTTCTTCAACAGTATCTTTTCTGACAGGAAAGTGAATCTAGTTGGTACTTTGGGGGGCCAAAAGTAAAAATTTCTCAGTAGTTTTCACAAGCACCGGGAAAAACAACATAAAAATTAAGGAAAAACGGGAATTTTGATTTTTGGTGTAACTCTAAAAAAAATGAACGTATATACATGAAGTTGTCACTGGTTGTTTATATTTGCATTTTGTATACACGAAAACATTTTCAAAATATTTTGATTTATTTTGAACTGTTTAGGGACATTTTCATTTTCCATCTTTTTTAGTTTTTTTTCTAAAAATATCAATAAAATTTTATTTGTGGTTGCGAATAGTTGAAAATTTAATAGAAGGCCCCTAGTATATTGTTTCAAAGGCAGATGAAAAATATTAAAAATCCTTAGTCACAATTTTTTTTTATAATCATTTAAAGTTCAAAAATTGAAAAAATATGGAAATATCACGAAAATTAGCAAATTATTTTGAGTTAAGAATTCGTAAAAATTTTTCTTTTTAAATCTAAGATTTGAAAATGGAATACAAGATTCCTTATAAAATTATCTACCTTTATCAAAAAAAAAAAAAATCGAGCGTGTAAGAAGTACGCGGGGATGAAGTGAAACTTCTTTCAGTCATACAACTGATATGAGGTTTTGTAATAATAATAATAATAGGTAATAATCTTATGTTAATTAATGGTACCTATATATATATTTATGGTATTAATAATGATATATCAAGTAGGTACCTTCTACAAAGTATACATGTAGGTTACTTATATATAATATAAATAATTGTACTTGTACCATTTTCTATCCAAGTATAAAGGAAACATATTGGTACGTTGGTAATGGTAAATATGTAGATGAAATCAAGTATTAATTAAATATTTATTATTATTATTTATTAAATAGTTTAATTAGTATAGTATAGTTTAGTCATACCATTATGCAATTTACCTGCCAGAATTTAATTAAATACATTAAGTTATATTTTGTTTTCTCACCTAAAAACCGTAATACATTAAGTAATACCTACTACCTACCTTTATAATATTATGTGTAGGTACTTAATTTATACTTTTAGACCAATGGACCAAAATATTTACTAATATCAGTAGTAATTCATGTCCATACATATAATATAACCCTACTATTATGTATATACATACATCTATAAAATACATTAGTCATATTATGTAGGTACATAATATATATATCAATTTGTTATTCATAAATTATTACATTTGATATTAAATAAATAAATATACTTGATAGACCATAGACATATATATTGAGTAATATCAAATTATGTCATATCATTATACAATTGAACCATCAGAGTATTATATACTATTTGAAAAATATAGGTGCGTTGGTCATTGTAAATGTGTCAAGTATTAACTAAATATTAATTATTATTATTATTATTTATTAAATACTTATAGTATAGTCATATAATATGATTAAATTCATCGAGTTATATTTTTAATATACATAATTTGACTCACCTAAAAATAGTATATTATATATATTTTTATAATGTTCCGGCCGAACTCTCATATTCCGCGACATTTCTTTTACTCATCGCGCACTCTGGAATATTTATTATATATGCGTTTTCGCTTTTATCAACTTGACTACGGAATATTGTTTATACGTTTATACTGGTTTGTTTATAAACAAAACATCGTACCGTTTTCGTGACGCCCGATCGTCCGTGACGCCCGAGCGTCCGTGACGGTCAGAGCGTCACTCTCTTTTTTTTCGATACCCCTCACATAAGAAGTTTCACTTCAAAAAAATGTCTATAAGAAAGTCAAATTAAATTTTTATGAGCGTTTGAAATTCAAATTTTTACAACATTGGATATTCACTCGATTTCTCATGTATACGGTGCTGTGTTTTCCGCAGAAACGTCAACTCTCTAGTGAGTTGTCTGTTTCATCACTCTCAAGATAAATAATAGTATGTCAACCAATACTCCATAGTCGTCGGTCCAAGATAGGTTTGGATATCTTTTGTACTTAAAACTAAAATGTCTAAGCCTTCAAGTTCTTCTTAATGGAAGCATTTTAAAAACGGAAATTTTTATCGCCACAAGGACACTTCTAATGCAATACGAAAATCTTAAAAGTTCTAAAATGTGGTCTTTAATTATATTTAAAAACATCTAGAAATTAGATATTATCGTCATCT